TCGCAGCTCCGTCAGGGTCCAGATAATGATGGTCAAAAGCGGCATGGAGCATGTCGGTGAGCGCACTCTTGAAAAAGCCTTGCTTGGTATATCTCAAGGCAATCCAGAGGAGGACGTAGAAGAAGGATTCCAAGTCATCAGCACGGTCGGGGATCGCTGGTAGCTGCCCGGGGGTGGGAACCACCAGCAAACGAGCAGCCATGAATTGCCAGGTACCCTGTCCATGGAAGAAACAGAGAGAAGGGAATCACAAAACGTCAAACGGGAATTCAAAAGAATTTTTAATAGGATCGGGACAGTAGGGGAGGAGGTACTCACAGTCCTTTCAGTGTGCGCTTGTCTTTGATGTATTTGATTAAGCATTTTGCAGAGATCCCAGTCAATTAACAATCCACCACCTGTGGCAGTGATGAGAATATTGCCTGAGCTGATATCTCGGTGAAAATTTTCAGCCTTGTCATAAGCGTCCCCATGGGCTGTTGAAAGGGAATCAACGCCAATTCTGTTAAGAGACTGATATACGTACCTACGATGGCGTCTCTTACTGCAGTCACCATCTCCTTTGTATCCCTAAAATCGCTTAGAGACCTCCCGATTTCGTTCAAAACGAGTCGATAGTGCTGCAATCGCCTGAATGGTGAAGGACGTTTTACCATTGATGAATCCTGCGTCTTGGTACACTGCTGTAAAACATCACATCCCTCCTTGCACGTGCAGATATTCCTGACCCCATGTTTCTTCAACTGCTCATATATCATGTGTTCGGGGCTTTGCGTGGCGGAAACGATCCTCCATGTGTCCTTGAGAAGTACCAGCTTCCCAGTTTCGATACAGTAGGCCTTGAAGACACGGGTCGAGCGGCCGAGGGGGATCCCACAGCCATGTAGGTGGGACAATAAAATACGTAAGTATGGCCTCTTGGATCAAGTTGAACATGAAACAGTCGGCCATGGTCTTCGAGATTGAGGACCTTTTGGCCTTTGCCGCGGCAGGGTGGTTGGGTGGAAATTCTCTGGCGGTAGTATCGACGCCACGTGCAGCAGGGCTCGCGTGATTAAACCGCCAGAAGAACTGAAGGATTTGAGAGACGGACTTTTTCCGTCACGATAGCGCCACTCCTATCGCCCTAAGATACATAGTTCCGTACAGTAGCTTAGTACTACCAACCCCTTTTGTTCACGTCCATCGTCTACCAGCCTTTACCCACCTTGCGTCAACAATAAGAGCGATATTGTGCATCTTTACCGTATAGTCTCCGTGAAAGGAAATACAGTAGATAACGATAATTTATACGATCGGGAACTGGGTACATGAGTGCGTTATGATATCTTTGCGTATGAGTGGGTAGCTTAGCCCAACCCTATTCATTATGAAGTTATGCATTGTGACATTATCCACTGTATTAAATAAAAATACTTGATTTGGTAACACACATTTACTGCAAAGTGTTTGGATTTATTGGTATATGTTGCAAGCCGTTGAGGCGTCCGACGCTGACGGTCTTGCTGTGCTCTTTGTTTGGGGTATACTATCTTACCAGGTGGATATTCTATTTACTTGAGGGACAAATAGGCTAGGTAGTATAGAACTCTACAAGGGGCTTTGTCTCCCCCCAAGTTTGAACTTCTATATAGCTCTGCATAAACATGGTTAGTACTTAATGGCTATCCGTAATTCTTAAACATATTTCACATGCTTGGTAAAAGAAATATATACCTGCTTCAATGGGAACTCCTGGTAGAAAGGAGTCAGTGATTTAATGGGATAAAAAGATTGCTTCAGGCAGGAATCGAAACCGCAAGACTAATGGTGTTAGAGTAAACTGCAAGCCAGGGAACCACAGTATGAGACTCTCTATGTAGGTACTAAGTAACTTAGATAGAGTGGTGTAGAATAAACCAGTGATATAGCTGGGCTTCCAGTTGAGGTTTCTACCCCTCAACTGGACTAACTATATACTGTACTACATGGTCTGTGCACCTGTCTGTAGGACTATCTGCTCAGGAACTATCTAATAAGTAACTATCACATGATGTGAACCAGTTGAATCTATACAGACACAAAATGAGATATGAGGTCATAGCTAATTGTATATACACATATTCTAACAAATGGTCCCATCATGGGAGGAGCAACTATTCAAGTCTACATCAGGGATTTGGGAATGTCTACACCCATTATATAGACTTCCTAGATCTATAGAAAGCTTTAATACTGACTAGTAAATAGGGATCTCGCAAAAGTAGTGTGTCTAGCCGTGTCTAGCTGAGCTAGCTCTCCTACATGGCTCTAGACAATATAGTAGCGCTGTGCACCGTGCCAGTACACTGACAGTTCATACGGTGCCATATGATGGTCACAGTACCTGTACCATTGGTCATCATGGTTGGGTTTCAACAGCACAGTAGATGGTATGGGTGGCACCGTCTTGCACCGTATAGGTACAGCTGTAAAGCGGCATGTATGGCACTGTACGGCATGCTTAATCAGTAAATAATCATGTCATTGACCTTATCAACATTTCATCTCCAAGGCTCAGTCGGTGGTTTCAGTGTCCACTGATAGGCTATCACCTCCAGCAGGACTATCACTAGGGTGTCGCTTCCTACAAAGGGCCCCTTCAAGTGACAAACTACATGCACATTTCACTTGTGTCTCTTGGCTGTTGCCCTGTTTGCCCACTTCAACCTCATTCCCAATTTCACCTATTGGTGGTGTCAAATGTGCAACATGCTCAATTTAACTCAGCCCTACCCCTCTATTTCAAATCTTTCAAATGATTACTATGGTTTCATCATGGCTGAAATCATTCCACAGCACCACCACTCAGATGTCTGTGACAAAGGCACCAATGCTCTCAACCACCCTTGCCATATTTCATGGTCTTCAAGATGATATCAAGACAATCCTTTGCAGTTTGGCAATGAATGTGTCTCCCATCATCCAAAAAGGGTCTTCTTGATGCTCATGAGAAGCTCAGTGAGTATTATTACAAGTATGATGAATCTCCATTTTATACTTGGGCTGCATGTACATCATTTTATCATTCCTGTCAATGCTAGCTAACTAATCTACTCAGTACTTGATCTGAGGATATCATATGATGGTATGAAGCTTGACTATCAGAGCGACCCACTACTCTTGCCATACCTTGAGTCATCCAAGGACGAGCTGGAGGAGTACTTCAAACTTCCACTGGAAGACTTTGAGACCTGCAATCCTATTCATTGGTGGATGGGCCGGCATGCTCAGTTCCCAAATCTCTTCTGGCTTGCTCACAATATTCTCTGTATTCCAGGTGTGTCCATAATCCAACAATTCATTGTGATAGGTGATGAACATTACATGTCAGGGTCTGCAGTTGCCATTGAACACATTTTCTCTGGGGGCCCCAATACCATTTCACTGTGCCGCGCAAGTCTCCATCCCAAGACAATCAAAGTCCTTATTCTGGTGAAGAAGAAGCTTCATTTGGCGTGTGCTCAGAGTGCAGCAGCATTGCAGAGTAGTAGTTAATATGCTTTGCTAGTCCTATCTGAATTTCTTTGGTGCTGTATTGTTCCATTCACCGTCAGACAGCTGTCTGGGCACCCGTGCCGTACTGTTGAGCAATGTTAGGATACACACACAGGCCAGGTTTCCAGAGAAACCCGCGGGATATCCGGTAGGACTTGGCTTCAGCTTATAGGCTGCGCCCTCGCTAGATCGTGTTGTCCAATTTCAAACGGATGGGCGGGGGTCCCGGGGAGTCTGGGTGGGGTTCGTGGGTCGTAGGTCGTAAGTCGGAGGTCGTGGGTTGTAAGTCGGGGGTCGTGGGTTGTAAGTCGGGGTCGTGGGTCGTGAGCCGAGTTGGTTGAGAGAGGTAGATGTGCCGGAGCCCGTGGGCTCCGACTAGTGCGAGCGATGTGAATCGAGTAAGGTTTTAGAATGGAAAATATTATTAGATTACTGGGGGGAATCTAAGCTAATTTTCTGACTGGATTGTATGTACAACATCTGCCAGTTTATATAGACCATGGAGTGAATGACATACCAAATCCAGTAATGGCGAAACGAAACTAACTAAACATGAAACGGGAATAGTAAACACCAAATTGGTGTTAGGAATGGAACGGAATGGAGTGGAGTCCGAATCATGACAAAGCATAACCCATAACGGGAAACGGAGCGGGAGCGGAGTCCTATGTAAATCGTGACAGGTCATTTGACTAAAACGGGAACGGGGCTCGATTAGAGCGGTGACGGGATTCTAAGCGGGGACCGGTGACTGATGCGTGGGACGAAGACAGACATAGACAGAGACGGAGTCCGGGGAAAGTCCAGTGACTGATGTGTCGTAATGAGGTCGAATGTAACGAGTCTTGACGTAACGGAGTCTGGGCGGGAAATCCTATAAACAGACAATTGGTGCTTGTAGCGCATGGGGGCATGCAGGTTAGTGCCCGGAGTCCAGTGGGATTGTCCGGTCGTAACAAGCAACCTAAGAGGTAGGTGTATGGATGGTATATGGTATGGCCGTACCCCGTCAACCACCGTATTGTGTATGGCCATCTCTGTAATATGGATGGTGTGCAGCCCTACAATATAGACGGCATACTTACTGAGCTTCCCACTTTCCTGATGTAATGCTCAACTGACTAAGCTAACAAGGTGTTAATTGTAACACCTACATTCCAACAGATACTGAACAACAACACCGGTATAACGTTGTAAATTTGACTCTGTTATTTTTTTCCGTATTTCAGACATTGTGATACTGCACCTTACTTTTGTTGTACAAGTATTTATTTTACAATGACAAAAAGAAAAATTTGTAAGGCTAAGTCGATGTGCGAACTTTGAACTTTTACATAGTTATGTACGCATATGCTTGTTTGGTACTTGATGGCTAGTTCCATAATTCTTAAATATTTCATCTGCTTGGAAAAAGATATATATATATATAGTTCAATGGGAACTTTTGGTAGGAAGGAGCCTATGATTTAATGGGATAAAAATATTGCCTCAGGTGGGAGTCAAACCCATGGCCTTGAGACCCTTACCCAGTCAGAGGGACTGTAAGAATCTTACGCTCTACCGTTGAGCTACAGAGGCCTTATTTACAAGGCCTACATTCTAATAGATACTGAGCGACGACACCACTGTTGTAACGTTCTGGATTTGAACCTGCTATTTTTTCCCTCATTCCAGACTTATTTGTCGTGTTACACCTTAATTTGTTGTACTAGTATACAGTGACAAACGGAAAAATCAGAAGGCTAAGTCAATATATTTTGGGGTGAGAACTTTGAACTTTTACATAGTTATGCATATGCATGTTTGGCACTTGGTGGCAAGTAGAGTTGCTCCAACCATTACTGGGACTGCCGCTATGCTATCCCAACACTGCAACTAAAGGTGGCCTTCCTCTGTAGTATGACTGGTGACAAATCTAAGTAGGGTGCTCCTGTTGAAGTATGTATAATACTGTTCCTAGACTGTATAACTTTCCATTTGTCTCACTGAGTCGTTGTAAATAGATAAGGACTAAACAAAAATACATAGGCCTCATGTAATGTGAAATACGCAGTGATTTTCAACTGCAGGGACCTGAGCCCTAATGCTCATAATCCCTCACTAACCTAAATCTCCAAAAGGTCAATAGCTGCACCATCAGCTTTCTTTACATAACGAGCCCAGGGAGAATGAATATAGATTTCTGTTTTGAAAAACAACCAAACTCAGGAACTACATTTTCCACATTTAGTAAGAGCATGGTGCGCTGATGTGGACTCCTCAGTGGCTGCTCATATTCCTCTTCGTAGCTCTTGGTTTGTTTCAGGAATCAAGCCAATATCAGAACCAGGAGCAACAAATTGAAGGATTCTTTGAAAAAGCGGAATCTCTGTGTCAGGACTCACAGACAATTCCTGGGTTTTTTGTGTTTTGGCGACTCCTTCAAACCGTACATACTTAATACTCACTCTTTGTAGATTTAAATGGAAAGGGAAGCCTCCTAAATATCGACTTTAGGATGTCAGGGGTGCACCGGTGTGGTCAAATGAATAGTTAGTCTCCTGTCCAAACTTAAATCTATAGTGTGCACATTGGCACCTAATGAGCTCTTGTTTCCCAGACAGACTTTACTGGCATTGATCACATATGAAGGTACTTGTGCCTGTACAACAAGTTGAAAGATACAGGAGAATGATAGGATCGTACTTATAGCTTTGGAGCCGATGTCACACTAACATGGGATATAGGCAATGTCTGAGTTGGCAGTCATACCTCAGAGAGAGACATGGTTAATACAATGTTAATAAAAAAGAGAAATAACTAACTGGGGGGGAAGGGGCAGACAATCCCTCCTCATCTCATGACCCCATAAAATCAAACAAAGTCCAAATTGCATCTCTCTATCGTGCCCATAAAGTTGTCACTGTCCACCCACTCGAAGAACAAGTGACCAGTTCAGACGGTGCAGAGGATAGCAACTACAACAACCAAGATGAACACCCAATTCCTGTGTGCAGTTTTGCCATAGGGTTGAGCAGCTGAAGCTGTCGCTGCCGGACGCTGGCTAGACTGTCACTAAAATCGAGCATCCCTTCTCATTCATACTCCCCTTCTCATTCATACTCCCCTTCTCATTCATACTCCCCTTCTCATTAATACTCCCCTCCCCTTCTCATTCATACTCCTCTTCTACTCATCTGTCTGACATTAAATATTTAGTATAGATTATTATTTTATACTCCTGTTCAAATATTAAGTTAGAACCTACATGTTAGGAACTATGTCATTTAGGTCCCTATATGTATTTTCAATCTATACTCTGGCATCCTGACATTGGTATTCCTAATGCAACATCTCTGATGACAGTGTACTGACAACTCACCCACTTAATGACTTCATTTTCTAGCCATTCCATCCCATTTTCCTTCTGATGGCATTCCATTATTCCTTGCATAACTTCACCACATCATTTGCCACCTCAGAGTAATTATCTTTTTTCTCTTGTCTTGTGTTCCTTTTTCTTGACTCCCTGTTCCATTTTTCCAATTTCCTGTATCCTGTTAATGTAAAATCACCATTTTCAGTCCTCTATGCTTCCATTTACATAGTTATTAAATCCTGTCTTGTACACTACTACCCTTCAGTTTAAATATTGACTCAGAATACCCATTTAGAATCCCCCTCTTAGTTATAGAAGCTTATGGAATAATACCATCATTTATTTTAAAGTATTGTTTATCCTGTCATATTTCAGACTCCACTCCCAACCCCGTTCCCATTATGGTCTAATGACCTGTCACATTTCGGACTCTCCTCCACTCCATTCCATTCCTAACACCAAATTTGGTGTTTACTTATCTCATTTCATGATTACTAGTTTGGATTTCATTATTACTGGATTTGGTATGACATACATTCCACAGTCTATATAGTCTGGCAGATGTTGTACATACAATCCAGTCAGAAAATCAGCTTAGATTCCCCCCAGTAATCTCAGTACATTTTCCACTCTATTCCTGTGTTTGAAACACACTGCTATCTACCTCATCAGAGCCCACAGGCTCTGACCTATCTATCACATCTGACCTATCACTGCCCAATCCCTCGACCTCTGTGGCATTCCTGCAGTCGACCCTCCAACCTCTCAACCCACCAACTACTCGCCGGACTCCCCAAGATTCCCATCCACCTGTGTGCAATTGGACAACATGATCTCATGAGGGTGCATCCTATAAGCTGAAGCCAAGTCCTACTGGCTTTCCTGTGGGTTTCTCCAGAAACCCTCCGATAAGGTCTGCATGCACTCCATAACATCTGTGCACAATTGAGAGATTGGTCTGTGCACAATGCCTAGTACTGCTTTAGGTCTTAGCTAGACACACAATGTATATAATCTAGGCAGTTAAGGACACTGTGTAGGGAAGTCCTGAGCTTCCATGGTAGGGGAGTCTTTCTCAGTGATTGGCATAATTGAGTCAACATAAATAAATGGACAACCCTTGGCCCTTGGTCAATGAATGGACACTTGTGACACCCACTGCCTCCAGGTATGCCTGTAATGGCTGTATATGTTACACATCTTTGTAAGGAAACCATGTAGTTTCCCCAGTATTCCACAAAACCTCAAACAAAGCATCTTGGCCTTGTCCCAAGTGAGCTAAATTCTGTCTACTGCCCACTCATAAGGCTGACTACCAAAGCCAGGAATCTGCCTCAACTGCCTCCCTGGGAACAAACAATCATCATTTGGGATATGTATACAAAGCAACAATATGCATACAAAGCAACAATATGTATACAAAGCAACAATATGTAAAAATAGGGGTTAATCCCTGTTTCTTGAGCTCCATTGACAATTCCAACTTGTATGTCACTCCTGGCTCCAGTGCATAAATGATCCTAAAAGGCCAAAAATATCTTGGCATCAGTTTACATGCCTGATGCTTTGACAAGCATAAGTTTTTTGTGGATAGATAGACAAGGTCATTAATGTCAAATGAAGCAGACCTTTGGTGGTGATTTGCCTGCCATGTCTGCTTAATTCTAGTCAAAAGGATTTCATCATGTGCACTCATGATCACCAGCTTCATCCACTCTGTGAAGGCAAGGACACCCAGATACTCTGTTTTGTTATCCAGTGGGCATGGCAGCTGAGTATAATTCAAAAAGAATGATGAGAATCCAGTTGTTTCAAAGGTAGTATTATTCATAGCAAACTCAATTGCTGGCAGCTTCAACATCAAATCCTTTTGGTTTGGTGCCACACATTGCCTCAACATCTGAGTCATCATTTGATTTACATGTTCGGTAGCCCTGTCTGTTTGGGGATGGTATGCTGAGGACATTTGCAACTGACTTGTTAAGTGCTGTGTTGCAACTTATTGCAGAACTATCAGAAAGTCACCAGAAACTCAGAAACTATTGAATAGGGTCAGGATGTTGGCTTCAGCTTATGTGCTATGCCTCTATGCAAACGCTTGGAAGTCCTTAATTTCAAAGACAGGAGTTATGCTGGAAATTATGGATATTCAGAGTTCAGAAGAGTTCTGAATATCGAGAGTACAGAAAGATGGAAGAGGTAATAAGAAACTAAGTCGATATCAGATTTAAAGTAGAGTACAAATTTGCAGAAACTAATATAAGTCTTCTCATTATTGTACTACGAACTAAGACCACAATAAGATGGAAATGGAAACATTCTGAGATGGGAATACAATAAGACAGATTAGGGAGACAATATTCTGAAATGGGAATATAATAAACAAACAAGTGAATACTTATCAACAGACAAATTACCAAATGCAGAACAAAGGAAAGATTATGGAAGATACAGGAACTATGATGTTCTGTATTGGAAGTTGGGGATTGGATATTGAAGTATCCAGGAATGGGTTGTAACACGACTCCTATCAACTGATGAAGCTCCCTCCAAAAAATACTCATAAACAGTGAATCTCTATTGCTAATTATTTTGATTGGCAGACCATATAGCTTGTAATTGTCCTTGAATATCACATCTTGCTTGTGGTCTATTCCTCTTTTCTTAAAAAGATACAAAAGAGAGGGAGGACACAAGCCAGAAAGCCTTGGACGAAAATGGAGGTGATCCGTCCATGGTCTTCCTTTGTTCCGCAAAATTCTATTAACCCTCGTCAGTTTTCACATGAATATAATAACATGATCAGTATTGCATGGCCCTGCCAAGGAGATGAACATTCAAAAGGTAGTGTAGGCGTACATTAAGGTTTAGGTTTTGAAGGCCATTTGTCGATTCGGACCTATGGCAGAAGCGCCTGCATCACCCAACGGTCCAATTGGGTCTCCAGTGAGTTCTTCAATAATAATGTAATAAGGGTGATTTTATTGATGTTGCCTCACCTAAAGCGCAGAGTATGATCAAGTATGATCACTGTGTTGGAATATGAGGTATCATCTATTAGTATGACCTCATACCTTGTATTGTGACTGCTTAGGTTATCGCCGGTTCATGGACTTCCGTGATAGTATTATTAGTTTAGTGACGGAGTTCTGAGTTGCTTGTGAGCACAGACCCATGCACTAACCATGTAATATAGTATATAGTTAGCCCCAGTTGAGGA